AGGGTGAACCTAGCCAGATGTGGAGACTTAAAGGCGAGAGCAGCTGCAACCAAACTTGAGAATTGTATATGTTTATTGAGTAGCATCCTTTTGCATTTCATGAAGATAGGACCTCACCCTGTATGATCAATTACATAAGACACGTTGTGTGTGTGTGTGTGTGTGTGTGTGTGTGTGTGTGTGTGTGTGTGTGTGTGTGTGTGTGTGTGTGTGTGTGTGTGTGTGTGTGTGTGTGTGTGTGTGTGTGTGTGTGTGTGTGTGCATGAAAGTAGGAGACAGAGAGAGGAAGAGGAACAGGTGTACCTGCAGTTATGATAAAGAGCCAAATTGCTGTCCTATTTCTAGACTGCCTTCTGTTTCACTAGCCTCCACTAAAGAAGGTGTTTTTGGATCAAATCAATTGTTCCACATTTTCTCAAATTACTTATTTGCTTTTTTGACGAGAGTTAGAGAACATTGAAATCACTCTCTTCCTAACGTTAAATATAAATCTATCGCCTACTGCTCTGTCTGCAGTTACTACAAATCTACTTAGCATCACCCCTGTAGATCACCAATTAGTATGTTGTTTCTAATTGGTTTAATTTGCACAAAAAACCAAGTGTAACATGACACGTAGCAACACGTTAAAGGCTGTTTCCCCTGCTTCGTGACCTGCAGAACATTTTATCTTCTGTTCTAACCCTCAGTAAGAGAGCAACAAAGGGGCTTTCCTTAAATGTGAAACTATCACTTTAAAGTTTATTGTTTTACTTTTCTTTCTGAATACCTAAAACTTTGTGTTTTTCTATATTATTAGACTACACCTTCTTAGAAAATGAAAGCCTGGTCTCATCTTCTTAAAGACTGAAATGGATAATGCTGCTCAGGCTAGGTCAATAAACTCTAAGGGAAAGACTCGATGTGTTACAGTTTTCTCAAGAGGATTTATATTTATCTCTGTGTTACCCCTAAGGAGGCAGTGTCAGGGAGGCATGGGGACGATGGCAGCAGCTGGTAATGAAAGGTCTGTTATACAGTATGACAGCATCTAGCAAACATCACTGTCAATGAGAGGAAACCAGCTCGCCCTCGATATATTGTTTTTTCGGCAAAGTCCATGTAGTGCAGTGGGCTAAAAAACTGTGAGAAATCAAAGTCAAAAGAAAAAGAATGAATAAACGAAAAGAACAATGAGGTAAAGAGAATAAGATGAGAACACGGGGGATTCTCTCTGCGATCTGAGCGATAGATGGACTGGGGAGATGTGAGACTCTTCATCTGGGAAATATAAAGAGATTAGTGCAGAAACTCACCAGATCTCGGACGAGAGGCATAGCTTTCCTCTTCCTGAGGTCTGGCATGCTGTCAATGCTATAGAGAGCGCCACCCATCCTGGAGACAAGACATGAGCAGAGCAGGATTCAGCTACACAACAAATCTATTGGACAATAAATGCATTCAGGCATTAAAGCCATGAGCTTGCTTTTACACTTTGTGAATTATAGATTTTCAATGACCGTAGTAGTAACAGCGTCATGGTTACTTACCCTGCTGATAAAAGCAGAGAGGCAATGCCAACACTTTCTCCCCGGGCCTGAGGAGAAGAGAAAGATGAGAAGCGGAAAAGAAGCAAGCAGGGTGCCATTAGAGCTGTGGCTGGGAAAATGGGAAGCATAGCATATTATAGTACTCTCTATAATGCTTTATATACTGAGAACAAAGAAATTGGGAGGGACTCGTGGTATTCCTAATCCAAAAGCACTATTTCTTGTAAGTGTCACTGGTAGTGGTTGCCAATGAATGCAAGTGTTCCCTGAATTCACAAATGAATAATACAACAGTGGTATACCTTGGAAACTTGGAAAAAAGGGGTGTTAAGCATCAAAGAAGTTTACAAATAGATGGTGATCCATGCAATCACAATAATTCTATATGCTCTATTATTGACATGTTCTTTGTCTGCCTGCTTGTTTAAAGAATGATACACAGCATTGATACTCAGGTCACCTACGAACAGATCATGATTGGTATTGGTAATGCCATGCTTACAAATGACACTGAGCAGACATACTGTGACTTCCCATGTGTTGCTTTACTCCCCATAAATATCTATAAGCCGCACAGGGTTCATAAAATATGAATAACATTGATTTTCACACTAATGGCCACACCCACCTGAGCATCTGCTCCGGACTACATGCAAATCGCTACGAGGGTGGCAAGCAACTGAAAAGAAAATAATGAAATGGCAAAACAGTACAAGGGGTGAACAGAAACTATTAAACACAAGACAAAATAATTCACAACAATAACCAAAAACTGGGGAAAAGGTGGAACAGTCAACAAAAGCTGGAAAAAACACAGTAAGAGTAACATGCAGGGACTGATGCAACAAGTCAGTGAGCTCAAATACTAGAGAATAGTGAATTAAACCAGAGCAACAACAACAGAAAACATATTACCCAATCCTACGAGACTATACATTTATCTGGCATTACATTCCCTGCTATGTGAACAAAGGTACATTAAAACACAGAAACACACACACACACGCAGATTGTACCTCTTGCAGCTGTAGTCGTACTCTACTGAAAAGTCGCAGCCAGTTGGCTTTGGCTCTGGCAAGACCAGGCTCCATGATTTCCCTCCTTGGGAAGCTTGAAGAATGAATAAAGAAGGAACAACGTATAAAATAAACGTTATTCATGTGCCTGTATGTGCTCTTTAAAATAATAAAGTGAATGTACATGTTTTTTTTCCTCTGAGAGAACTTTCATTGACTAATAAAAGTAAAAGCATCAAGCAGCATTACGTTGATTTTGCACACCTTCTACAAGAAAACATGATGATTAAAAATGTAAATAATCATTTTTTAAATGATTATTTGCTGTATTATTAGAATGGCGCTGGTTTATCTGGACAGGACCTAAACGTTTTTTTATTTTATTTCTACCACTTCCCCAGAGTTTCCTATGTTTCTTTTTCGAAATGCAAATATTGTATGTTCTTATTGTTAGTGAGACATTTGGAGAGAGTTATATCTTGTTTTACTCTTCCTCTAGGAAGTGTATGAACAGTGTTCACCTTGGGACAGGGGGCTCCTCTGGTTTTTGTTCAGGAGGCGTGGGGGCACTCTCTGTTTCAGGAGTAATCTCCGGAGATGGAGGTTCCTCCAGTGGCTCCTCAAATTTGGGTTCAGGCTCCAGCGGCTCGGTATCTGGAGCTGGAAACTGCGGTGTGGTTGTGGGGGTGGATGTGATGGTGGTTGACAGAGCAGGCTGGGTGGGTGCAAACGGGGGCTTTGAGGGTTCTGCACTGAAAGGGGGCAACGTGTCGTCCTGCGTGACTGGAAGGAGGTTAGAAGCTGTGCTGGGGGGGGGGAGCAAATCCTGGACCGGCCGCTGCTGGTGCAACGAAGCTTGCTTCTCCAGTGGAGGTCTGGGGGAGGACAGACCATCAGAGGTGGGCATGAGGGTGGGGGCAGTGCTTGTGGGTGTGGGGGTGTAGGGCGGCTCCTGGTCTTCACTGAGTGTGCCATCAAGCTGATACATATCTTCATCTTCCTCAAAAGGCATCTCCTCTCCATCTTCGTAGGTGTACTCTCCTTCTTCCACGTATATCTCAGCATCCTCTTCGGCATACAGCGCCCCCTCTTCCCCTCCATCTTTGATGTAGCCTCCATCGTCGCTGTATAATATGCCTTGGGGGTCCTCCCCATCCCAGACTGGGGAACCCTCCTTGCCGTAGCTGACGGAAGAGTGGCAGGAGTGGTAAGAGTCGTTTTCATCGTAGAACTCCGATCCTCGCAAGCTCCCGCCTTCCTCAGCAACAAATTCCTCGCTGAGCTGAGAGCTGCCTCGACTCAACTCGCCCGACGAGGCGTAACGACTGTCTGTGGGACTGAGGGGAGGGGGAGATAAAGACACCTGTTACTTAAACACACCCACATGCGATTAAAGGTTAACTAGTTCCCACACAATAACATTTGGCTGGAACAATGAAGTCTGTTGGGGCCAAGAAGGGAGACAGCTAACCAATAGGAAACAAGGATTGACTTTAAACCAACCAATAAGAAAACTCAGAGCAGGGGGGTTGGACTAGTGATGCATCTATTTGACTGCAAAGGGAATCATCTTTTAGTAATTGGTGAGGTTACTATGGAAACTTCACAAACAGGTTAATACAGAAGCACACACCATACAACAGCCAACGATTAGCAAAGACATGAGGACAGATTTGTTATATAAATAGACCGATCCTATTTGAGAACCTGGAGAGGTTGAGGATAATTTATCAGCCTAGCAGAACAAAAACAGTCTATGTTTTGCAGATAAATAGTGAATAATATGTTTTCATGATGATGAATGAGGCTATTGAGAGAGACCATGAGTCAGAGAGAGATTTGAGACACATGCACACACAAACACACACGCAGTCACTTAATTTGTTCTTCTCTATTGATTACAGTCATGTTGGTTCAATAATGTGTGGAGCAGTAAAGGAGAGAACTATACATTATGGCTTGAACACTTATACAAGCATGACACTTTGTTCTTTTCTATCCATCAGCTCTCTCTCTCATCCAACACAAAGGAGCCCTCAATCTCAGCAAAGAATTCAAAACAAAACCTCAAGACATGAAAATAAAAATAAACTAAATGTGATGTCAAGGCCTCTCTGCAGCCCCATTATTGGGCTGACAGCCTCCTGCTGTCTTAAAAGTGAAAATGAAATGTGTATAATTAACAAGTATGGGACACCCAGAATAAGACAGGGCTCTTCTTAGTGTCTCACATACAGGATGAGGCTGTAATAACATGCTGCTGCAACAACAGAGCCCCCTCCCCCTGCGCACACACACACACACACACACACACACACACACACACACACACACACACACACACACACACACACACACACACACACACACACACACACACACAGGCACACACACAGGCGCACACACACACACACACACACACACACACACACACACACACACACACACACACACACACACACACACACACACACACACTCAAGGGATCTGTTTCCCAGAAAGCTTACTGATTATTTTGTATAAGTGACCACAAATATTTGGTCCGATGATGACCAGTTAATAAGGTAGATATAATAATAATACAATAATGAACCTCTCTGTTGCTGACGGTTAAAAAACAACACACTCATACACACATCTTGTCAATAACTCATACAGAAACAAACAACAGCGCAATACCTACAAGAGTTTAGGAATGGGAATGATTCATCATTTGTGATACTGATCGGCAATTCTTCACTATGAACAGAGTACATATATAGTAGATGCAGGACCAACAGTTGTGTATAGAATATACATATAAAGAGATAGGGTAAGAGCGCATGCATGCAAGCACAGCGAGCGAGGAGGACGGGACAAGTCCACCACTGACGTCACAGCGAGACGGAGTCACAGGCCGGAGCAGGAGAAAGTAGAGGAGGAGGAGGAGGAGTTGGAGAGGAGGTACAGAGACCCACCTATCGGACAGTGAATGCCTACTGTCTAGAGAATACTGACGACTGGTGCGCCGGCTCGACCCTGAGCCTGAGTCGATATCGCTGCGCCCGTTGGTGGCCGAGTCTAAACTATCATTGCGTCTGGTAAGAGGAGTAAGGAGGGAGGCAGGGGAGAGGGGAGAGGTGGGAGAGGAGCATCAGTAGAGCTCAGAGCAAACCCTTCAAAGAAAGATCCAACCAAACTCAGCCTCTGGTTTTCAGATGAACATTGAGGGAGGTTTTTGCTTGCTGTCATGTTTTCCTTCTGTTCATACTGGCCATTAAAAGATACCTTCCTTCTGTACTCAATATAAGAGATGGAGGGGGAAATCCACTGTTCTGCACAACCTATAGCATGTGGGTATATCTCTCATCTATCCATTGTCTTTTTAGTGCAATATTTATTTTTGTTCCTCCCCTGAAGCTCAACAAGGAAACTGGGACACAAAAAGAGAATCCTGCACTAGAAAGTCCTGGGAATATACCCACTTGATGTTGTCCCCATCACTTAAACTGGAAGCACAAAGGAAGGGATCCACTTTAATCAGAAGGAGAATTTTAAGCAAGAAAAACCTCTTTTGATGTTCATATTTGACTGTTAAAAGACAGACTTGAAGATGGTGTACTCATCCTTTAAGACCCCTCACTGAGGTTGAGCACTTGCAGATGTATTTTACCCATCTAAATGTCAAACTTTCTGTTTAAGTTTTTCTAAGCAATGCAAGACATTTAACCATCTGCCAAGGGTAAGAAATAGTGTTATTTCAAGATTCCTTTTCTGCACAACGAAAAGATCCCGTGGGGTTTCTGATGTTCAAACACACTCAACATGCACACAAAGACACACACACACACACACACACACACACACACACACACACACACACACACACACACACACACACACACACACACACACACACACACACACACACACACACAAAAGATAACCACGAAGGCCCTCTTCAAACAGGACCTGTATACAAGAACTGTGCTCCCAGCACGCTTGTATACACTGAGGCCAGGGTTATTCTCTAGAGGAGGAGAGCACAGTGGGACATGTTACCATGAACAGTACAGTAAAACAAAGCCACTGGGGCTGAGCTGTCTCAGGGCTAAATGCTGAATGAAAGAAATATTTTCTTAAAATAGTGGAAGTCATATTTAAAATGGGTTATATTCTCCTGTCTCAACAAAAAGACAAAAGCATTCTCACTGTTTCTGATACATTAGGACATCCTGCCATGTTAATCTCTTGAAAAGGAAACCACTCAGTTGTGTCTCCTTAGTGCCTGTAGGGTGCTCGTTACCTCAGGGCTCTGGTGTCGTAGCCCAGCTCTTGGATTTCATCGCTGTATGAGTGTATGTACTGCTGGTTCCTGATGGGATACTGGTGCATGGAAGCGTTGGGCTGGGAGGTGGTGTAGAAGGGAGGTGGGATACTGTTACTGGTCTCACTGCGGTAGTCGCTGTCCCTGTCGTCAACGGCGCTGTCCTGATCCTCGTCTGTTCAAACAAACACAACGGGAAACAAGATTTAGTGATAAGAAACCATAAGAGAATGATGGGTCAGTTGTTTTACACAGTGTTTGTAAAGTCTTTCAGGGAGCACGACAGAACAACAGGAAAAAAGCAAACAACACTGTGTAAAACAACTGACCCATCATTCTCTTATGGTTTCTTATCACTNTATTAATAATAATAAATTTCACATCAAAAGAAACAAACAGTGTTTTAACAAATCGTATTAAATAATCTGAATGACAGAACTGTAAACAGAATAGCTGAAACTTTACAAAATAAATAACTCAGTTACCTCTAATCATTAACCCATGTTTGTATAATTGAGTTAACTCCGTGTGTTGCTGCTAGCATACATAACACCTGACGTGGAAACGTTGCTCGTGGATGGGGCTACAGAGCTACTAGAAAGACAGTCGAACCCGGTGCATTCCTCCGTCTGAATGTGGTGCACTTTTGCTAAATGTTTCATGGGAGCCTGCCTACACCGGAACTGTCCTGAGAGTGGAGGCCTGCAGGCAGACCCCTCTCAAATGTTTAGACAAATTGCTCGTGTTACCGCCCTTACATGCTAAACACTTATTGCACTTTTGGCAACGAGCATTGTCCACATCGAGACGGGTAAAGTTTAACCACACCTCGGAGCGCCTTCTCTCCGCTATCTCCGCAGTGTGTTGCTGCATGTAGCAGCTGCGTGTGTGTAAACTGCCCCGCCCCCTCGCACCGGGGGAGAGATCTCGTCTGATAGAAAATACATCATCGACGCATTTGTTTGTCTTTTTGCATATTAGAAACGAGTTGGCGACACTAAGACTGCAATATAATGTTTTTGTAGCAATAATACATGACATATATTTTTTAAATGTCTCCAGTACCGATAAAAAGGTCAATAACGTTGGAGCTTAACGGCGCGTAAAACACACGTGATGACGTCCCAACGAATCGACGACTGAATTAGTTGTCAACTAATTTGGTAATCGATTTTAATCGATTAAGTCGATTAGTTGTTGCACCCCTAATAGATGACAACTAATAGTGGTTAGGTAGTGAAACTGCATGGTAAAGAATAAACCCCCTCACCTCCTTCTCTCTACTGTTCTTCTTTCCTCTCATCTTACGCTTTGTGAAAAACACTCAAACAAAGCAGGCGGATGTGATAATTAGACTGACACCCTGAAGCATGCACAGACACATCCAGGAAACACTGCTCACCCACGCAGGAATAAGTGTTTCCTAAGCTGGATCGTGCCACACAAACACACAGTGGACTTAGATGGATGTGATTTCATGTGTTATGCATCGCTGTATTTCTTTTCCGTCTGACTGCAGAACAACTTCCCTGCCAGCAGTCCTGAGAGGCTGCAGGACCTCAAGTCCACCGTGGACCTGCTCACCAGTATCACCTTCTTCAGGATGAAGGTACATCTGTCAAAGACTGTTTTGATGTATTTTAAACACTCCACGTACCAAACTTGCTCAAAGTATACCACATGTAGAATTTAATCAAATGTAACAAAACAAAGCAGAATGTAATGTATTATTATTATTATTATTATTATTGTTATAAATTGTATTATAATTAATAATATTATTATTGTTATTATCACTACTATTATTGTTGTTGTTATTATTATTACCATTTGTATTATTATTTATTTATATTATTATTACTAGTTTTATTATTAGTATTGTTATTATTATTATTATTATTATTATTATTATTATTATTTAATTCTATACTAAATAATTGGCGTTCAAATTATTAATCTTAAAATAAACCTAATTAAGTTTTGGAAATAATCATATTTTATTGCATTTTATTTTATTGCAGTAAGGACAAACCTGAAGACAATTCAGAAGTGTCACGATTTAGTGTTTTTAATTTCAGTGTGCCATTTTCTTAATGTCTTTCATTTTTGTAAAGCACTTTGAATTGCCTTGTGTTGAAAGGTGCTATATAAATAAACTTGCCTTGCCTTGCCTTACTTGAACTATCTTTATATTCTGTGTGTGTTTTTTTCAGGTTCAAGAGCTCCAGTCTCCCCCCAGAGCCAGTCAGGTGGTGAAGGATTGTGTGAAAGCTTGTCTCAACTCCACCTACGAGTACATCTTCAATAACTGCCATGAGCTGTACAGCCGAGAGTATCAGACAGACCCGGTAAGAACAGCAATTTATTCAATATCTGAATGTCTGTCTATCTCCTCTCAAAATCTTCATATTTCTGTTTGCTTGTTTGGCATGACTGTAATTAGGTGAAGTATCGCCAAAATTCCTGTAAGTGTAAGGAAGAGTCAACAAATAGCTTGCTACATAGACACTCTAATACAGGGTGTTCGCGGGGTCTTAAAAAGTATTAAAAGTCAAATTTAGCGAAAATTAAGGCTATTAAAAAGTATTAAACGGCATTTTCCAAGGTATTGAGAAGGTTCACAGCAACGACAACATGAAACACCCTTTAATTTACTTTATTTATATATTTAAACCCCACAAGGCGGCCCCATGCATAGCGCGCCGTAAAATGCTGCTTATTATTTTAAGTTTCGTTGCCTTGCTCCGTTCTGTGTGTGTGTGGGGGGGAAATAAACGACTACGGTAACGGGTCCCAAGGTGGGTAGACCGGCATACGCAACGCTCTGGGGGTCCAACGGCTCCGTGTGTGCCCTATATGATCATTTTCTGATAACGATGAAAGAGTCCGCCTCCCTCTCCCCACGTCTCCTGCTGCTGCTGGGCTGTCAGAAGAGGGGGAGGAAAAGAGAGGCAGTCACCGTTTATTAAATATTCTTATATTATTATACAGAGAACAGAGTCGTTATCAATTTGTTTTAAAGCTCAATAAATAACAAAGAAGACCTCTGACTGGCACTTTCCTAATTTTGTACGGAAAATTTAAACTTTAACGGACATGTTGACCGGCGGAACATTTTTTTTACGGAAACTGCCGCACGGTCCCCTCGTTCCTTGGAAGAGGCCGAGAGGTGGGTGTTTTTCATCTGCTGGTGGACTACCTGAGAGATACAGCAGGAGAACACGCCGTCCACCGCGGAGAATAAACAGAAGGGCAACCATGGCAACCATGCTCCGGGGTCTTCTTCGCTGCTTTTGGTGTATTTCGGGCGGCAGCAGCGCCACTTACAGGCCTGACATATGTACTACATCGTTTCCAGCATTTCCAGCGGTCTAGTGTGAACGGACACGTTAATGAATCGAATGCGTGTGAACGGAAGCCTTTTTNGTAGTCGCTGTCCCTGTCGTCAACGGCGCTGTCCTGATCCTCGTCTGTTCAAACAAACACAACGGGAAACAAGATTTAGTGATAAGAAACCATAAGAGAATGATGGGTCAGTTGTTTTACACAGTGTTTGTAAAGTCTTTCAGGGACCACGACAAAACAACAGGAAAAAAGCAAACAAAAATTCTGCTTTCTATAATAATGGATGTTCTCAGAAAGAAAAAAGTTTCCTTTATAGGAGTTTGCAGATACCTTCAGATAGATTGATTTCTAGTGTCTTTTTATAAGTTATCATCTTAGAATGGCCTGCAGCCTGAGAGGCAATGTTCAGGGCATACAAATTATTTCCACGTTTAAGCGTAACAACTGAAGGTGACTCAGATAAGTGTATCCACATTTGTATGAATTCAAGCCATCTATCATCTGGTATTTGGTCCAAACAACGACACTTGAGTGATAAAATCAACCTGAATGTTTCCATCCCCAGTGGAAATGACACTCTTAGAAAAACGAATGTGTCTCAACAAAACAACACGGAGCTTAGTTTGAATTCCACCAGCTCGTCTTTAAGTCCAACAGGAGAATATGGATAGAAAGTACGCTTGGAGAAAACGTATATTTTATTGGCAGCTAATGGTCTCTATGGAAAACTACACAGGGAGATCATTACCTTCAGTGAGACATGGACAATAAATACAGAATTACTCCAAGTCGTTAGCAGAAGCACATGAATGAAACTTACTCTGCTGTTCTCCCCAGAGACTCCAATTACCTGCAAGGAGACAAAGGGTTGGAGAAACCAAATTAGGTTTGGGACACAAACTAAACATACGCAGCCGACAAAGCCAGGTAAACAAACATGTAAAGATTTGTAGCTCGCAGATATAATTATGTTGCTGTCAATATGTATTCACGTGTTTGACTTCACAAGCTCATGTATGTGAGAATAGAAAAGCACAAGGTTTTTACAGCAGTGGTGCAGCTTAGTAAATAAAAGCAGAAAATACACACATTATCATCTCTGCACACGCAAGCATCATGCCATCCTTCAACCCCACTGTCTACAGATGTATAGGACACACACTTCATCACTTTATCATCATCACTAGAGAAGTCAGTCAGCGTGGTGTTGACCCATCGTATGTCAGTTCGCATTCAACACTCATCGACATCTAGCACCTGTAAATGATCCTACTCAGGCAGGCTTTAATGCATGATTTGTCACATCAGCGTTCCACCCTTCCTCCTTCCATCTATCAGTCTCATTTCTACCTCCTGTATTATCCCTTTCTCTGGAGCAGACGAGGAGTCATAAAAAGGACACAGCGGGGGACAGAACAGGAGGAGGTGTATTGTGACACTCACAGCACTGCGTGGTCGGTGCATGGAGTGGTCGCTCCTGTTCTTCTTGATCGGCGTACTGAGGGGAAAACAACAACAAGAAACATCAGAAAATTAAGATCCAGCACTAAGAGATATTGGCTCTTTCAATTCTGCTGTTATTATAAATGTAATTAGAGAGACAGAGAGTGTGGGAAATGAAGAAAAAGAGATGGATAAGAAACTGAGAAGGAAAGGGATTATGAAAGATAATGCTATGAAAAGGAATGATTAAATACATGAGGAAATATGGATGACAGATGGTGCGGAGACAGTGATGGGAATGTGGAAAGTAAAAAAGTTCTCACATCTTGATCTCTCATGGCATTTAGTTGTTCAAGTTTCTTGGCCCAGTATCTTGCTTCTTCCTCAGGAATGTCTGCAGCAAACAACATATATGAGACGGTTTCTTCCTTTTACATTTTATTGAAACACATACATAATTCAGAAATCTTGAATATATAAATGAAACACATGACATATTGAAGCACAGGGTAAGGTTGGATAAATGTGAGTATGGCGAAAGGTCAGACCTAGTGGCAGTTCAAAGCGGGTGTCAAGCAGCAGCCTGTGAAAGGTCGGGTCTTTGGTTCCACAGATCTCATTTTCAGCCATGACCGCATTCAGGTCCAGGGTCAGCCACTGGCCTGGACCCTCCTGAAAAGAAGGATTGAGGAATATGAACAAAATGACTGCAACTTTACTCACTGCATGATATATATGTTGTTTGCCATGTGTGATTATCAGGCTATATGTCACTCTCGGAGTCTCACATAATGGCCTTGATTATTAAAATAACATTTAATGGCACATGTCTCCATATGTTCTTCGGTAGTTTTAGTAATTGCATTCATTCAATCACTCAAATTAAGTATTGGTTAACACGTACTGTAAGTTTGGCTAATAACACCTAACGCGCGAGTGTGTGTACCTCGTTGGACTGCCGTATGTTGCGCAGGGGGATCCATAAGGTGCCCACCATGGTGTCCCAGATCAGGCCTTTATTCCACACCTCCACTGTCAGGCCCAGATCCAGCCGGTTGATCTCACTGCAGGTACAAGAAGAGACGGATTAAGAAAAGAAAAACCAGTTAGGAAAAAAGCAGAGGCAAGAGAGTAAAATAATAGGTAGTGTCATAAAAAGTGGAGACAGGGTTGCGAACAGACAGCTCAGTGCAGAGGGCTTTCAACAAAAATACTGTCTATGCCATCAGAAGCTGCACTTAACCTGGTGATGGACGTGCACTATGATTCATCCGGCTGAGGGAAATGAGTCATTCTGCATGAAGATGGAACAAATGTGTGATTGTCAACTAGGCTGCTGGCAGGATACAAAAGAGAGCACAGACAGAAAAACAGCGGAGATCTTTATTTCTGTATGACAAACAACAATGAACTCTGCCTCATTTTTCCATTTGTATTTCCATTTTTTGCTCAGCAATATAATATATACAGCAACTACTGTCAGGGAATAATTTGCCCTGCATGTCTCCTTCACCCTCTGACGCAGATGCCCAGCCTTGGACAGCCGCTATCTCCCTTAACGAAGGGCTGCCCGAGCATTTTGTTGTTGTTACCAGTTTAAGACCGGGCAACTCTCGGTCAGAGATATGTTGTGGGACACTTGGAACACATCCTTCTCGGGGTGTAGATGACCTCGAACCATAACCGACAACTAAAGTAATTCAGTGTCCTCAGCTGTTTAGTCTATCTATTGAAGAATGTTGATTACCCTCAGCGAACTAGTTAAAACCTCCTACCAGAGAGGAGACCACCTAGAATTGATTTGGCATTTCTATCTGTGGTCAACTCGTGGCTCATGACATGTCTTGTGAATTCTCCGGCCGAAGCTCCAAATAAACCGTCAGTGTTTGCCATCAAAGCTCTCCTCGCGTCTCTCTGAGTCCTGTTTCCAATTGCTTCAGAAGTTTCCCCCACAACTATCACTAAGGTCTGCAGAAGCCAGGCTTAGTAAAGTGATTACAAATCTGACTTGCAGATTATCAGATCAGTAAGCATTGCTCATTGTCACACTGTGCCTCTTCCCAAGCCCACTGGCTGTCTTAAGTGAAAGCTAATAATAACCACAGCTTTGATGTTAAAGCTGATACTTCTGTTTTCTTCAGAGCCAAAGGGGTAATCTGGCAAATCACAAAATGGTGTGTTGCTTCCCTAAAGGTAAAATAAATAAACATAGAGGCAGTATCTGTCGTGTTTGGCTGTTTCTTCCCCAATTCAGTCAACTTCCTGGAGTTATGAGGTGCAATTAAGCCTAGAGAAACCCTCTACACGGTGTGTGTGTGTGTGTGTGTGTGTGTGTGTGTGTGTGTGTGTGTGTGTGTGTGTGTGTGTGTGTGTGTGTGTGTGTGTGTGTGAACTCTGCTGCAGCAGGTGTTATGTCATCCATTCAGTCTTCAAAGGGAGTAAGGGAGTGAGGAAGAGAGGAAGCAAGAGGAAGAGGGCAAAAATAACTCCTTTTAGGAAGTATAAATGTCACAGCTGACCGTGCTCCTCAGTGTTGAACAACATCTGTGTGCTCAATTGAGCCTGAAGTGACACCTTCCTTCATGTGAATTGACAGTATGCATCCCTTTTTAGAGCCTATATTTGAACTATTTATATATTAATCTGGAATGCAGCTAACAACTGATCTTGACACTACATGTAGATTTTCTGGAACTATGTCAACTAAACTTACAGCCACAAAGATATTGCATGATTTATTGATAGTTTCACAAAAGATATGTTTAAACTAAAAACTGCTGTTCCATCAAAGTTAGAGCTTGAGGTGTATATGGAATAATATACTTAAAAGAGTACTCCACCCATTCAGTATTGCACTTCTTTAACACGGTCCAGAATCATCAAAAACAACTGTATTTGCTATTTCATGCGTTATTAAATACTTGTCAATACCTAGGGCCCAAATGAATCACAATGCAACCTGAATGTCTTTAGTTGACTGGGTGATGAGGGGTGTTTTGCAAAATCATGGCTCAACTGAATCCTCCTTTTTCAATTGAAAGCCTCCTTCACATACACTTTAATATATGTACAGTCTGTGAGCCTTTCTCTGCCTCCTGCCTAACTTCAATGGGACAATAGGAAGCAAGGTTTTGCCAAGCTGGCACCACGTGTGCTATTCAAAAGGAGAACGGAGAGAAGGAAGAGGTGTGTAGTAAGAAATAGATTTTAAATAGCACTGTCTATCCGCCAATTAGGCAACACAGTGGGAAAGTCATGGTGAGATAAAAGGTTGGCAAGAAGAGCACTCACAACATGAAGTCCTGCTCCCAGCATGGCTGACTGCCACGCACAGCGATGGTTGTGCTCTTAACATTCTGCACCTTCAGTGTCACGTATGTGTTAAATTTCTCTGTAAAAGAATAACATACAAATACCATTAGTCAGGTTCCTTTGTGTGTCTCTTATTAACAATCCAGGTGACATCCAAGGGTCCAAACTCACCTTGGGGTCCATCGAGCTTGCCTTTCTTCACTGTAAATGAATAGAAACAAAAAAAAAGAAGTTAGTCTTAGTATGAAAGAATTGAGCTATTGTGTCACATTTCCAAACATGTTAATGTCACAGTTGGAAAGAAGATTTTTACGCTTCAATTATAATATTCAGTGAATCCTCAAAAGCTTTTCTAAGCATATGCATGAGGTGAATCTAACCTATGCAGTCCAGCAAGGCCTGTGCCTGTAGCTCATGTAAACAGGAGCTTAGTTGTCCGGTAAATCATAGTAGCCTGCCATTTTAAAAGAGGAGGCGATCTGCTCTTCTCAGCCTGGTCTCCTCTATCCGCTTTGATCAGAATGCCACAATCTCAATATGAAAGACTGCATCCGTTCAGTAGGAGATGTCAGGATCTCTGAGTCACAGGGCCAGAAGCTGATGCCAGGGAGGAGAGAGTGGCCACATGCCTGGTCCTCTCTAAATGATGCATGTGAATGTATTCCTGCATAGTAGACAACAGGAGGTGGTGGATAAAAGACAGAGCAGTGCTGCTTTTTGTCTAACACAACAGACGAGGCTCTGTTGAGGTGCCACTGCCAGCTCGTCCACGCAGGGACCTCTGGAGGCACCAGACTGACTTTTTAAACCACACTGACGTCAACGGCATACTCATTATTTATCAATCCGACCCCCTGCTGATGCCCAGCGTCCCCATGTTCAGCAGCGAGGTATTAATATTCAGAGAATCTATTTTCTTTTTAAATCCCTGTTGATTGCCTCTTTTCACTGAAGTTACATTTCAGGAAAGAAACACAGGGACTAAGCTCAATGCATCTTATTAGACTTTGACAGCAAGCCCTTAAACTATCTAAACATGCGTGAATTTCTGCAAGAAAACACATACATGTATGAACCACAGTCAAACTCCATTAAATTGAAATAAGTAAATACTTAGAGCTCCCTGTTATTAAACCAACATTAGGGGGACAAAAGTAATGCTGATGAAGAGACACACACTTAGTCACTTTCTTAGTCAGTGACAGCAGAACAAGCACGGTAATCATCGTAGACAAATTGGCTTCTAAAAATAGCATCAACCCAGCAAACCCTTGCGTGATAATCACCGAAATATCAGTCTGGTATTCATGAGACAGGTGGCGGAGTAAGTGGTGTGGTGGAGCATGTGCTTGGGTGCCAACTTCAAAATACAGTCAAATACACATCCTGATACTTTAGCTGCTGACAAGGCTGTTGCGCCTAAGGAGAGTGATTCTCCATGGAAGCCCTGAATATACTGTAAGTCATTTCACAAAGAGGCGTTCCAATTCATTTGCATTTAACAGAGAGTTTATTACCGATGCACATCGCTAACACTCTCCCTCTCCTCACCATCACCACCAGTCATTGTTGATTTCTCTCCTTCTCACTCAATCACTGGCTCCTACAAGCTCCAAGCCATGAGGCGAGTATGCACGTGTGCTCCCTTTCTATCTCTTTCTCTTGTGCTCCATTAATCTCTCTGTGCAGCCGGATGCGGGCAGAGCGCGCTGCATCCCCAAGACTAAAAATAACCACTTGAGTGTGACAGGGGTGGGGGGTGCCGGAAAGGGGTGTGTGCTTACAGCTCTAGGCTTAAGATTTAAACACCATTCCTGCGGTTATAGCACAAGGGAGTGAAGAGGAATAGGTGGAGAAAAAAACTCAACAGAAAAGGTTGAGTCCCCTCCACAGCAATCACAGTCTGGTTGTCTCTTTCTTGCTCTAAACAATTTGACAAATACATTGACTCAGACGACCTAAAAGGAGCTTTTTATTTTCTGAGGTTTTTACAATCAGAAGCTTTTGAGGAGCCCACGCTGCAGAGCAATTATACTGAGGCAAGGCACAACAACATAAACTGAAGACAGGGAATGCAGAGAAGAACAATCTAAAGGTTATAGCCAAAAAACAATTAAATGAAAAACAGCTGTGCAGTTTACCTCGAGGGAATAAATCAACTACAGTGACTAGTGTATGAATATTATACACATAATGCAATGGTAGTCAGTCACCCATGATTGAATATAGACTCTCATATAGACTAATTAAACATACAATATGTACGTTTCTAACACTAAGGGTCTGTCACTCAAAAGAATAACAATAGATAGGTTTCGTGACAAAATGGGGGATTATGTTTTTATTTGTCTTTACCAACTTTCAGACTGCTTCTCCCAGTTTGGATTACTTCATTGTAAAAAAAGCAGACAAATTATCCGCACAGGGCTCCTCCTCCCCAAAAGAAATGGCTTTATAATAATTTAAAAAAAGGGTAATACACTTATTAAAACACTTTCACGTGCAAATCAGTGTTTTTCCAGCAGGAACAACATAGAAGGGGTACACGAGCTGAGGGCCAATGTTAGCTTGGCTTGTTTCTCTGATTACTTCTGGAAGTCCAATGACTAAAAGTTAAAATATATCATTAGAATCCACAAAGATCGGAAAAGTGTATGGTTAAAACATAGATTAAAACATCATAAATCAAAATATCTTCTGGCACAAAAGCACAATGCTAAAATAAAGTGTTATCCTAAATGTAATTACAAATTTCACTAGGTTTGAAAATGGTTGCAAACATCTGGTATAATGTGAGTTATACATTATTTATTATTATACAACAAATATTTATAGGTTTAGAAAGGTTTAGACTTTTTAATGAGGAAATGTTACAAAGTACACCTTTAAAAACCTGTGAGAAACATTAAAATCTGGAAATGTAAGTAAAAAATATAAAGACTGCAGACTTTAAACCGTCTGCCTAACCTTTCAGACCATAGAGTATTTAAACAGTATCTTCAGCCTTGGAATCATTAACCACATAATGCTGCTGTAAGTATGTATATATTGTCATTTCCATACAACTGATCTTTTTTCCTAACTGTTTTCAGACCTACAGCAACCCTGTTCATTATAACAGTAACGCAGCAGTGTGCTTGAAGTGGTAATGAACTAGCTAATTCTTTGTTGCCATTTCTTATTCTGGACTTTCTGACCAAAAAAATGTCCCTAATGATCTGCATGCATATGTAAAAAGTCTCTATTAGATGTTTGCCTTAATGAGGAGGGTGACACTAATGAGAATATCTCAAGGCTAACCCTGTTATAAGGTATAATGCATCATGAATTGTCATCTCGCTACAGGGGGTGACAGTTAGAGGATGGTTGCCAGATCTGAATACACTTTTTTCGGTTATGTGGCACATGAAAGTGAAGTATAGACGTATCTCTGAACGCTGCTGCTGCATTGTATATCAGCCGTGTTACTGTGCAGTTCAAGGTAAACTGCTATTCTCCTTATTTCTTCATTTTTCTCAGCCACAATGAAAAAAATATAGTATCAATATAAATCTAGCTGCGGGCCACTAACAGTGTGTATAAAATAATGAAAAAATGCCAGCAGCAGAGATCTAAAATACCATTGGGGTTGCTATGCCAACAAAGCTTCAGGATATAAAGGGACCCCCTCAACAGGCCCAGATCTTAATCCTGACATCTGTGCAATCAGCTCAAGCTCTGGTGTCAACGACATAGCATCCTCTTCACACACTTCAAGTGGCTCAAGCCTCACATGCATCTGAAGTAGCTTCAAGGAATCACTTTTCTACCTTTTAGTTTCCTGATAAGTCAGGCACCATATTTATTAGATGTATTAGAGAAAAAAACTTGGGAAACTAATTGACGATTTAATAGAGTTTCAGTACTGTTGAGAGCCAAATTCAATATGTTGTCCTGCATCAAGTCATTGTCTCTTCAAAAGCCTGCCATGTGTTGAAAGAATTACGTTAGGATATGGATAATGTATCCCTGCTTAGAGGATGTGTAAAAACATGTAATGTTCTATAAAAAGGGGGCATTTTTAATCCTCATGAGGGATTAATTTTAAGATTCTGGTAAGGCTACATGATATCTCCAGGATAAATTGAAAAAATGTACTAGGGATTTTGCTCTATTGAGTTTCATCATAGACAGTAACATAATTTCAATTAAATTATAATCAGTTTAAATTATATTTTACAGCTAAGGGCTCATAACATGTGAATAAGATGAAATAAAATCCAAATAGATTTTCGAGCTAGTTGGTCAACAAATGTCTATACACAATCCACAATGAACACCCAGATACTTCACATTGTTAGACAGCCTAATATGCTCAGCCTGGAAATGTTTCATAATTACAGTGACTGGATGACATTTAAGGGCTTATCACTTCCTCTTTAACGTCCATTTTATATTGTTTCATTGAAGAAATACATAACAGATAACACCATGGACTTAATCGAAAAAAATACAAACACACCATCAATAACTTAAGGAAGACATTGGAGCAGCAGTACACTGCAATATGGTGAGTTGCTGAGTGTTTATACACCAATTTGAGCAGCATTGAGTTATGTTGAATTATTTAAAGACAGAGGAGATTGCAGTTGTCATAGATCATAATCAATATAAGACATCATTAGAAAAACGCTGCAGCCAATCACGTGGCTTATAGAAATATCCGGCTTTAAATGCACCCGGTATATGCCAATGAACACGCCTTTTTGTCCAACACTATTACGCAAAAAATGTCTGCACTTTGGATTATTTTTTGCCTCAAAGTACTTTGTGTTTTTTTTTTGTGTGACACGAAACAAGAAACACCCTACGCTTCTGGTCCTCCGAGGAAAACGGAGAGTGGTTTATGTCTTGTTTTACTATGTTTGACAGCGGCTGCTAGAAAGCATACACCTACTCCACAAATCGATCCGGTTGTAGTTTTTTTTTTTTTTAAATGAGCCCGGCTTTCATTCTAGGGGGGATTTGTTTCAGGGTATATTAGTCAAAATGAAACATATTTTCGAAATGTATAAGATTAGCAATAAAAACACTAATTTAATAGGGTAACAAATGTTATCAATGGGGATCATTTTTTGCAAAGGTGAATCCCCAAAACCAGTGAAGATAAGATCTGGAGCTATTTAGATCCGCTCACGCCAGCAGGTCGAGGAAATGTACACACAAGTCGTGCCGAGACGTTACGGATTAGTTCTCTTACCTCCAACACACAGCAATGACATTTCTTAAATGCGCTAATAGTGCAGGGTCCAGCTTCTTCACCAGCTTCCGTAATTGAGCCAATCTGTGCAGAATTCAGCCTGGATGAAGCGTCGGGCTGGAGATAGAGAAGCCAGCCGTCAGTGGCAGAGACCGGGCCTGGCAGGACTCTTCGGCCTGACAAAAATAAAAAACCTTTACACTTCAAGAGTGAACGCCAGCGTCGCAATCCTTTCTGTCTTTTTTATGGCCTGTCTTCCTTATTTTAAGACTCTTTGCCCGCCTTTTCTCTCAGCTTTCCGCTGCCCAACACACAGCCATCTTGTTCAGCTTCAGCACCGCCGCTACGTGGACAGCTCCTGGCAGTGACGTCAGGGCGGCGTGATGCTGTGTGAAGGGGTGGGGGGGCTAAAACATCTGATTATTAGCCTCTCCCTCTTTTTGTAACAGACGTCTAAATATCTCAGAGAATCCTTGGAAAATATCACAATATCAACATGAAGGTATCTAGGGAAGATTAGTCTGAACATTGATTTTGACAATATGACTAAGCCTTACTTTGAATTAAACAGTGATAAGTGAGTCAAATACATTCTTCTTGCTTGACAGCAATAGTGTTAGATATAGGGGAACATATGGAGTCCTCTGGCAGAGCCTAACCATGAAATTATGTTTTAGCAGTAATAAAGTAATTATGATGAACATGAACAGCTTGGGTATTTAGTAATAGTTGACTAAAAGTAGATGAATTGTTTGTGATACAATTACACTTTAGATCATGTCATAAACAACACATCTTTGTGTCCTCTTCTGACCCGAGAATCCCATCGGCAAAATCTGTCATTATTCACTTTGTTGCATAAATAAATAAATAAATAAATAAATATATATATATATATAGACTTTTTCCCCCAGTGTGGGCCCACAGCTTCCCCTGTTGGAACAAAACATTTACTGCATCTTTACACTCCTCCAGGGTCTGGTTCAAAATAAAAATAAACGTGTTTTGCCAGTTCATTCCATTTGATTTGACAGGAAAAAAATAGTTGTCTTGTAAAAATAATTACACGTATCTCACAACAATTTAAAAAAAGCAAAATTGCACACACACCTTTTGTTGGAAACATTTTCAGTTTGGTTTAATGAACATTTCGGAAAATAAAAATATATATTGTTCGGACAGCGTGTTTTGTCCATTAAAACAACCAAACATCATCAATGTAAACACACAAATTCAAACCCCAACATTTAATTTTCACTCTTTCCAGTTGTTTTGTTTTTAATGCATTCTAAATAATACAACATACACATTCCCAAACCCCGTAATGCCAGTTGGCATTCACTGTAAACTAATAATTAGGCTTGTCTTATTGGACAGGTCATGTGACTGTAGGTAACTGCTGACACTACAAAAGGGTAAGGGTCGAACCAATTTGACTTAATTAAAGCTGTTCAGAAGATATAATTACCTTATATTTAATGGAATTCCTGAACTATAAAAACCCTCATCAACGCCACAAATATTTGCATTTACAAATGCTCTTGTGCATGAATAGACACATTCATAAAGAAGAGGCAGGGCCTGCGTGGGTGGTGTTTTGAAGTGTTTTCACCCTTGCCTTTACTATCCTTGAGATATCCACATGCTCTGTTGAATGGCACTGATTTGACCTAATCCTGCCGAGCCTGTATGGTGTCCCTGTGATGCAGCAGTGGGAATCCATCCGGCTGGAGTCTCCTCATAACTTCTCACTGACAATAGATTAAAGCCCACAAGTTAGTAAATTGGAAAATATTCAGACATAGATTATATGGGTTTCAAACCTTGAAAGATGCGTGTTGTAAATCACACTTGACTATGTTTTCGAAAAACGGTGCTCCTTATTGGTAGAATCTTAAGAGTAAAGCAATGGTCCTCATGTTGGAACCACTACAATCCTACTGTGTTGAGTATGGGATATATAAGTTACCCGTCCAGATGAGAGAGGACTTCGCAGAGCTGGGAGAGCAGTGCACGATGCTTGTGAGGGTTTCCCTCCAGAACTCCATTGAGACGAGTCAGGTATGAGTCCAAGTTCCCATGAGATGCTGTCTCACCTGTATCTGTTCAGAAAAGCCACAACATAATTAAATCAAGACATCCACTCAAGTTGAAATACATTTACATTCCAGCACGGTTTGGCAATCCAACTCTTAGGGTTTTCTCAAATGTATTAATGAAAATGCAGTTTAATCGTCGATCAACATTGCTAACAGCACCAACGCATTAATACTACGCGACAAACTCTAGCATCAAAATACCATAAAATGGCAGAACATTTCCTTTATCATCAATCTTTCTTCATTTCTCCTGTGAAATAATAGTTACTGACCTGGTAAGGGGACTGATGACAGACTGTTGACCAGTGTGTGTTTGATGGCCAGCAAGTGTTGGTGAAGAGCCTGCGTCCGCTTTTCATCCAGCCCCAGTTCAGCCTCCAGGCGCTCTTTAGCATTGTACATGTCCTTAATGTGTCGCTGAAGCACTGAATTCTGCTCCTCAAACTCAATGTTGGCCTTACGAAGCCGTCGCAACTCAGCCTCTCGAGCTGGAACCACAGAGGGAGACATTTAACAGGAATTGAAGATAATGTTTCGTAAGATACGTTGGACGATATATTGGAATCATCAGTTTTTCTCTACGGTTACCTTTGTTCTGATCGAGGAACTCTTCTGTGAAGATAGGAATGTCGAACCTGCTTGTGAGGTCAGAAGCCTAAAGGACATCAACAGAAAATGGACAACTTCGATGTTTAAAATGTACGTAAAAAATACATTGCAGAATATACAGTGGCAAAACATGGATGCCATGTACCTTTGATATAGATGGCTCTGAACGAGTGCTGATGATGACAGACGGAGTGTCCTCTGCAAGATAACGTTGCAGTTGGTTATTATAGCACACAATGCATGGAGTAAAAAGCTTTCTTGCTATTTGCCCGTGTGATGTTTTCTGTATGACATTAAAAAGTAAGTAAAGCAGAGTCGTCACCTTTCTTGATCCTCTTGTCTTGTATCTTAGCAGTGGTGATCTGAAAGGCCTCCGTCTGCTGATACTCCTTCAGTTCCTGAGCATACTGCATCTTCTCCCGCTCTGCCTCGTCAAGGTAGCGCTGTCATTGCAAATAATGTTGGGAAGCTTTAATGAGGGAACAGTTCTTCATTTAAAATCTTTTTCAGCATGCACATTTTCGCAACTATCAAGAATAAAAGCACCGCTGATGAGAAATATCTTTAATAAAAAAAACTTGTGACATGCATACTTGCAAAAATAACTACCTGTTTGTCATTCAGGGCCAATCGTGTCCACTCTGCTCCAAGTCTCTTGGTGATTTCTGGGAAAGGTAAGTCAGGGTATCTGGCCCGCATTTGTTCCCGACGTTCATTTAGGAAGCGGACATATCCAGTTACTGGTGCCTTGGGACCATTTGGTAGCACCTTCTTTCTCTTCTTTCCCTTCGGCCAGCCTCTCTTCTTTGGCTGGAGAGAGGGGAAACAACGGGCAGGTCATCGTCAACGCTCAATGTCAACAAATAGGTATATATAGCTTCTTCTGACCGACAAAAACTGTCTAAAATTACAAGAAAAAAATGACAATCAACGATGACTATAAAGAGCAGCAGGTATTCCCATTTCAAAAACCTACAGCCCAAATTATTTTCGGATTTTGTATTCAAACAGGTCTCAAATGATGTATAAAATAATCAGAAATGTTTCCTCATTTATTTTAGGTTGATCAATGAATTGGTCCAGCACTACTACACGACCACATCACCCCTATCCTCCATGACCTCCCCATCAAACACTGCATTGACTTTAAAATATTACTTTTCACTTTCAAAGCCCTCAACAACCTTGCCCCCCCCCTCCCCTACCTCTGTGACCTCATCCAACGACACACCCCCACCCGTCGCCTCAGGTCTGCTGAAGCTAACCTACTGCAGCCCATCAGGACAAAGCTCTGGACCTGGGGTGACAGGGCCTTCGCAGCAGCCTCCCCCACACTCTGGAACTCTCTCCCCAGCCACGTCAGAACCGCCATCACTCTCACATCATTCAAACAATCCCTCAAAAACTCACCTTTTCACTCTTGCCTTCAACTCCTAATCCACTAACCCCTTGCCCTAATTCCACCTAGCTTAGCACTTTCTACTTTTGTTGTTATTTTGTTTCACTTGCTTGTAAGCGCTTTGAGCACCAGGAAAAGCGCTTTATAAATGTAATGTATTTTATTATTATTATTATTACTCTACACACCTCATGAAGGTTTTAATGTTAGGTATTTGTTGACATTGTTTCACAGAGGTTTTATTTGATCTATATGCTCATTTAGAATCTGGTTAGTGGTGCTGTTGACGTGAATTGTGTAAAATTGAAAAGGTATTTTTTCTGTCTGCGGTCAATTTAAAGTTTTATATACGAACGCGGTTTGTGCTGATTTCTATTATTCTGCCCAAACTGTTGATAGGATATCCTGATAAGAGCATAAATACTCCACCTGCCTTGTAACATTAAATACATTTCTAATAAGATTTTTCCTCCTGTAACAATGTTAACAACGCTAATGAAGGTAGAATGTTTTGCAAGGTGTGTATAATTGCGTAATAGTGTACAAAATAAAATGGCAACTGAGTGTAGAGGTAACAGTTTTTGGTTAGACAGACTTCTTCCAACAAGATAAGATAAGATGGATCTTTATTTAATCCCGTGGGGGAATCCAGGTGTTTAAAGCAGCAACAGAGAGAGAGAGTGAAAAACAGGACAGTAAAGATTCACAAGAGGATAATCAAATAAAAAACAACATTATATAAGTAGCTGTTAAAACGATATATCACAACAAGGTCAAACGTTGATAATTTGAATGAACATATATACATATTTGAGTCCGGGTTATTTCATATATTGACATGTATGAGTGCAGATGGGAGTGCAGGTCAAAGTGACTTGTACAAACAGTGCAAGGGAATAAGAAGGCTTTATTCAAATAATTGACAAAGTGAGTTGTTAATCATTGTCACATGATGTAACAGTACTCACCTCCTCTGGTGGTTGGTCTGCTGAATGTGAAGGTTTGGACTGATTGGATGCATCACTCTGCTCTTGTTTGATCCCTCCCATGATCTCTGTGTATTGGACGATCACAATCAGAATTTCTTTATAAGTCCCACATGTTTACAGTGTTACAGCAAAAGTGAAATAGCAGATAAAAGGCTACAGATTATAAAGTAGCTAACATGATAAATATATAGAAAAAGCACATATTAAAAAATACAGTTAAAAGAAAGACAAATAAGTCCTCATCCAGGCAAAAAACAAACAAGTAGAAGCAGTTTGTTTATCTTCTACTGCTGAAATGTATATCTTTATTGTTTTTGTGAAGGAAATCCTGGTATTAAAGCCTTAACAAAGTGTAAAACCTACTGCTCTATTGATTAGGCTGCAACGACAACTTTTACTTTCATTGTATTGTATTTACCTTTAATTCATGTGCAATGTCTTATACATGCTGCTCTGACGAAAAAATTGGGATCAATAAAGTATATCTTACCTTATTATTTCCGTTATCTTAAATGGGTAAGTGCACATGAACGTATTAAGGTTTTAGATACTATAACAAGTATATTTTGCACATAGAAATGTTTTAGTATGTAGTTGTGAAAATGACAATTACTTTTCATCTGTAAAGGTTAAGTCCGGGTGAAAAGTATGTACACAATAATATAGGAGAAGTTGTAAAACAGATAAGAAACCAAAAAACAAATCACCATTATGAAGCTAACCTGGCTGCTAGCTGTTCTTTATAGCGGCTAACTGTTCACAAACAACGGATACAAAGGTAATCCAAACGGCTATATCTTCACATGTAAAAAACTGAAACATATATGCTATATAAAATAACATTAAGTCACTCCGGGGAAAGGCAGATTGAATACATTATTCATACTTTTTGGGGGATAAACGTCTTCTTTACTCACCGAAAAATGATTCCTCCGGCCAAACAGGAAGAGAACCCTACCTGCCATCGGATTGGTCGGTCGATCGGCATGCAGAGTCGGGATTGGTTGGCTGCATATTCCCATGAACCCCACTAAACAACCAGTGGGTCCTTTATAATACGTTATAATGATTTGATATATGTTTACGTGCACTATCAATATTATTTGCGATATCATTTATACAATAATTTAAATTGGATGTTTAATCTGTCCACGATATTTGTTTTAACGGTCAAATTGTTTATTGTTCTACTTCCTCTTGGTGTTGCACTGTCCCTTTGCTGTTGTTACACTGGAAACGTCCACATGTTGGGACTAATAAATAATTATCTTATCTCAAAGGTCCTGCATTCAATATTATTAACCCTTTAAGTATGTAAGTATAATCAGGAACATCTAAACATATCCCCTGCTGTGACTGTTATTACAAACTACATTGTTGTTGCTCATGAATCCATGTAAAGGCTGGATTTGACTGTTGTCATTTTGAAATATGAATTTTCTAAATATGAATTCAGAAATGAAACGTTTATACATCAACAGTGTGCTGCAGCAACAGCAGTATCTCTTCTGAATGTGTTGTCATATACATAAACATGAAGTGTATTCAGTTTGGAGATGAAAAGAGAGCTTGTTAATCAGTCCTGTACATCACATCACTTGAGCATAGTAATCTGATTATTGTATTGTGTATGTAAAACGTGTTAAAAAATGACTTTCACAATGTTAGTTTTGTCCAACCAGCAGTCCAAACATCAACATTCTGACAGTATTTCAAAGGAAGAGGTAATCCTCACATTAACAATGTTAATTAATTGACACTCAGTGTGGTACAAAAACATATGGTGTATAATAGAGACCCAGAGTTTTTTAAGATCACCTTTGTAGAGTCATTTCATTTAATCGTTTATTTGGCAGGGACAATGCACAGTAAGGAACACTTAAAACATTCAAATGTGTCAAGCGTAACAGTGCCAGATTTAGCTTTGAGCTGATTTCCATCCGCAGTCCCTCACATAAAACATTTAAGAAAATTACATTTTACAAACATAGCAAAAACAAAATATTTGATATGCAAAAGAGCAAGAGCAGCAGTCGGGGAAACTGATGTCCTCTTCCGGTTCTTTGCCATAAATATAGATTCACGTACCTCAACATGTTAACTGGTATCCATCACAGTTCCAGAAATGAACCAATTTGTTAATTGCTAAGAATTCTAATTATAAATAATCATTACTGGTGGTAATAAAAGCTGCTGGTAAACTGTCAATGTTTTGAAAAAAGAGATCTCTTAATTGGATATTAAAGAACGCCTTTTTCTTTTTTTCACCGTCATCTGGAGCACAACATAAATAACTATTTTTATCGCGGTCATGTTTGACTTCCCATTTAATTAGAAATTCTTGTAATGTTTAGACATTTAAAACTAAGTAAAAATCAAGAATGAATTTCAAAGAAAACCATGGCCACATACTTTGCAGTAATAAACATGCACAAATATTTTAATATACATTAAAAGATCTTACAGAGAGCAGGCTATTATCGCATTGTAAACCGTAAAACAATATAATGCATAACTCTTCCAGCTATGACTATAAATGAGGATGTTCAGTTATTGATACCATTTATCTGCAATATTTAGCATTAGATTTACAAACTTGTTTAATATTCTGGGGCAGTTGAACTTGCTTTAGCTCAGCTGTAGTAGCACAGCAAACATCAGCTGTCTTTCAAAGTGAACATCCTTAAAGATAAACTCTAGTTACTCACACACAATAGCCATTTAATGTGCTTTAAAGAAAGAACCATCATTTGAATAAAGCAGTTTCCTTGAAACAAATTGCAAAATATTGTTTTAGATTAATTCAACTAGAATGAACATCTAAACCCTTTTATCTCCTAAATGTGTTAGATTTAAAAGTACATGCATTATAATATTTAACCTGACCTTAGGTTTCATGTTTGGTTGAGTTGTGTAGTTCTCTAAAATGAACACATTTGCTAACCTATAGTGGCCAGTTTGGCTCTTAGAACAAAAAAACAAGCAAACAAAATTTCAGCAGCAGCAGAGAAACAACTTTATTCAGTGTCTTTAAATACAGGGTCCATTTGTTTCAGAAGACATTTTTACCTCTCGCTAAACCCACCTAGGATTTTATGTTCCATAGAATTACTGTCTTGCAGTTTATGTGTCCAAAATGTCATACCCTAACTTTGTCCCAGTGAGGCAGTCAGTGACTTTGACTATCACATTCAAGAGTGTGATGAAGTCAAAGGACACTGCCTGAGGCGTTCTGAGATATTCTGTTCAGCTGAAGCATTTGACTTGAGACAAGATATTCACTTTCTGACAAAAAAAACCTTGTTAACAACTAGCGGGAGAAGCAGCGGGAACATCAGTGAACTGTCCCATGATAGTACCTTATGACATAAGCACAATGCCTCCTGATAGTGGCAGAAAACACATGACAGAAAAGTCAGCTTCAACATGTTATAAAGAAACAAGAACGCCGTTATCATTGGTTTTTATTTTTATTTTATTTATAGTTTACAATTTTTGTGGGTGTTTATTCATTATTTTGAATCCTTTTGGCAAACGTTAGTGCTCACTTTGTTCTGTATAGTCCAGTCCCCCAATGTAGACTTAATTTTTTGGGAAGGGAGGAATGAGGCGAGAGCCAAGTGTAGTCAAAGCAATTACATTTTATCCAGGTAGTTATCCAGCAATGGGACACCTTCCTTGAGCCCCTTGCGTTTGCGGGCGTCGGTGACAACAATACCGGGCTTGGACGCAGGGTCGGTTGGATCTCCGGGGAGGATCTGCCAGTGGTCAAACACACACTGTGGGAAGGCCTGGCCACCAGTGTGGGAACGAAGGTCAGCTGTGAAACCTGGGAATAGAGACAGCAAAGTATGCTTCTTATACCCTCCAAACAATTACAATGAGGGATAATGCACAAGTCACATATGAGGAAGTGAACATTGGATAAGTGAATCCAACTGCTATGTGTGGAGCTGAAACGTTTTGTGTCTGTAATAAATACTGCACTGATACAATGCCTTATAATGGTACAATGAATATATTTGATGAACACAGGAACAGAAATATTCTTTGGTTTATTTGGGGATGTTACCATTGATGTAGGACTAAATAAAATAAAACCAGGCCATATACTTAATTACTCTCAGCATTACTGCCACTCTTCAGTTTATTAGCCTACTACTTTTAGCCTTAAGGATTGAAGAGACATCGCTCTCCGACAACTGACATTTTCTGTTTGGGTCAAAGAAAACAATCTTCCAAAATGATCATTTTTTTTCTAATTTTAAGCAGTGTGGTATAAACTGAATAAATACAATAGAATATTGTTAGTTATTTTTGATAGTGGTTATTCCACAACAAACAGACCAACTTCTAAAGTCCAACTAAAAGTTGACCGCAAGCACCAAGACTTAATTATTTCTGCCTAGAGCTTGATAATAAATTCATTTACGAGATGACTAAAATGTATATATCAAGTAAAATCAGGTTGCATACAAACAGTGGTTTGGGAACCAAGGGTTCTGCTGTTCTATTCTGAACAGGTCACCCTTATGAAAAGACAACTTACCAAATGACTCCATGACAGGCAGGAAGGCCTTGGTGACACGCATGGGTGTTCCTGTGATAGCGACCTCCTCAAAGACGTGACCACGTCTCTTGGTCAACACACCGTAGATTCCACCGACTGCAGACCCGGGACACTGCAAAGTAGAAGGTCGTACAGACAACATTTACCTTTTTGAATTCACAGGCATGCCAAGTGCTGACAACTAAGGCTGTTGAAACGAGGGCTGGGAAATTGATGAATGCAGTATAGATATATGGGCTTAGATGTAGTTTCTGCTAAAGGCTGCATTATAGTGAAGCTTAGCAATTTTCTAAATTGCCTTGACTATTTTTTTTTTTTTTACTTTCCCACTACATTATCTGGATTTAATGAGTAAGATTATCTATTGGCAAACATTTTAAGAAGCACCAATTGTCCACATTCAATCGGAAAAATATTGATTGAGGCATCTTGAAACTTCAATGACACATACCTGAATCTCCACCAGGTAGACTGGCTCCATCATTTTGGGCTCTGCAGTGAGCTGGCATGCATACAGGCATCTGCGAGCTGTTGGGATAATCTGACCGCCACCACGATGAATAGCATCTGTATGCAGGGTCACGTCATGGACGTTGAAGCGAACGGCACGCATGTTCTCTTCACAGAGGACACCCTAAAGACATAATTGAGACACCAATTTTAAATAAACTGAATCTAGAGAACAAAAAAACAATTGCTTGAAATAAATAAACCTGATGCTATACGAACATGACCATTAAAGCTGTTCATTGAATGTATATGCATATCAGCCTGCTTACCTCCTTGACTGCCCACTGGAAGCCAGCCACAACGCTATCCTTGATCTCATTAAGGTACTGCACTCCCTTTGTGACATCCACCAAAAGATTAGGGCCAGTTCCATCAGGTCCAAAGCACCAGATCTTTCTGGCCTCTCCAACATCCCAGTCGTGAGTATCAGCAAGGTATCTGGCACGGAGTTTCATCTCCTGACGAGGTGTAATGTCACCCTTCTCAATGGCCTCTGCCAAACCATCCTCCAAGGGAGCGGCCTTCATGAACAGACGGTTGTGCTTGTTGGGAGACTTTGAGAGACACACCACACTTGATTCCACGCTGACCGTCTCCCTGTAGGACACCACTGGATCAGATTTCTAAAAAGAAAACAAGATATGTCAAAACAAGTTTTCCTTTAGCAATATTGTGATTTTTTTTTTCTTATTTCCCCATTACCCTGAGTGGAACACAAGCATGATCCTCCTCCAGATCCTTCAGACAGATCTCCAGATGCAACTCTCCAGCGCCAGCAACAATATGTTCTCCGGACTCTTCAATGATGCACTGCACCATAGGATCAGACTTGGACAGACGCTTCAGACCCTCCACCAGCTTGGGCAGGTCAGCAGGATTGATGACCTCCACAGCAACTCTCACGACAGGGCTGACACTGAACTTCATCACTTTCATGTTGTGTGCCTGCTCAAAGGTGGTGATGGTTCCAGTCTTGACAAGGAACTGATCCACTCCAACCAGACCACAGATGTTACCACATGGCACATCCTCAATGGGCTCAACATAACGACCCATCATCAAAATGGTCCTGCCGAAGAGTAATGTGTGCGTAGGGAAGAAAGAAAACACAACTTTGATATGACATATCTGTTTATTTAAATCACATCATGGATGCATATCAAATAGCTGATGAAACTCACCTCTGGATCGGCTTAATGAAGAGATCGTCCTTCTTTCCAGGGACATAGTTTGGTCCCATAATGCGTACCTTCATGCCAGTGGAGACGCATCCAGAGAACACACGACCAAATGCATAAAAGCGACCCTTGTCGTTGGTGGGTACCATCTTGGAGATGTACACAATCAAAGGCGCCTTGGGGTCACAGTTCTTGATACCTGAAAAACCAAAGCAACATCTTGCTTAGTACCGGGGTCTCAATGAAATGACAGAATTAATTCATTTGATATGCATGATAAAACTTCAAATTCCTGTGTATGAGAATATGTAAAATAAATAAAGTTCCTACCCATGGCACACTCATCATCCATAGGTCCTTCGTAGAGCATTTCGCAGCGGTACTTCTGGGCAGTGACGGGGGAAGGCAGGTGGATGGTGATCATCTGAAGGAGAGCCTCTCCGGCAGGCAGCCAGCGACGCATCACAGCCTTCAGAAGAGGCTTACCTTCCTTGTCCTTGTCCTCACTATCCAGCTTGATCTCCAGCTTACTGAGGAGTTTGGCAGTTTCCTCTTTGTTGAAGTTCATGATAGCATTGAACACCTAAACAATATCATTTCATTAGTGGACTGCGCAGTTACATGACCAAGACAACAATGTTAAAGTAAAACAATGTTTGTGTGCTGCTCAGAGTGAGAGTTATCATCACTGGATATTCAGGTCAAAGTGAAGAATGTTTCAAATCATCACTTGCAGGCACATCTTTTTAGCTCAAAGTTTACAACAGAACATTTTGATTACAAATGTATTTAGCGCTGCTTTTAAACAGCCCTTCCACGTTACCTTGAAAATGGGGTCCAGGACGAGAGCAACAAAGGTGCGGGGGAGCTTGGAACCTGGAGGTAGATTGCTAGCCTTGTAGAACTTTCCAGTGGCAGGATCAAAGTACCTAGAGAAATGCACAAAGTGTCAAGATTTAACAACACAGTACACGTTGTCAAAAGTTCCTTTATTGCTTGCACTTGATAGGTTAATCAAGATCTATTTTAAAGACTCACCTATCACCCCACAGCTTCTTCATCATGTCTTCAACCTTCTTGCAGTTCTCCTCTGCAGTCATCTGGGTGTTGCTCTTGGCAGCAAACTTGGCTGCATACATTTCAGCAAACTGCTTCAGAGTGAAAGCCCAGCCATGGAGCCCAGAGCCAAAGCCCACAGTGCCAATCACTGGGGAGACCTTTAAGTGAAGACATAACAAATCCGGACATGAGAAGACTTTTTTTCCCCCCAATTTATCTAGCTGATGTTTTTTTAATTGAACAGTACTACAGGGACACCTTTAGTGTGGCCACCCAGTTCAGCAACTGGATCCTCAAATGTTTTTAACTAGACTGCACAGTTACATGACCAAGACAAGAATGTTTAAGCAAAACAATGTTTCTGTGTGCTGCTCAGAGTGAGAGTTATCATCACCGGATATTCAGGTCAAAGTGAAGAATGTTTCAAATCATCACTTGCAGGCACATCTATTAAGCTCAAAGTTGACAAGTCGTTAAGGTTGTTCTGAAGTAGTAGATCGCATAAAGTAGTAAACAGTAGTTTATCAAAAAGTAAAAACCGAAAAGTAAGGTGCAACATGGATCCCTTATTACTTATAAAAGGTTCAGACAGCCACTTACCGGGAGATGTCCCATCGGCCCATCCTCTTCTCCATAAGTGGCAATGATGACATTGACTGACTCAACAATACGCTGGAAAGTTTGGTAAAGATCTTCAGGCTCCAGCTGCAACTCCAACAAGGCACGGTCCATCTTGTTCATCATCAGGACTGGCTTGATGCGCTCAGCAATGGCCTGACGGAGCACGGTCTCAGTTTGCACACAAACACCTGGCAGGGAGTCAATGAGGCAATTTAATGGCAAACTAAGCAGCAGTGTTGCAGTTCCACGCAAGCATCTCAATTATTCAAATTGCAGGTCAGCACAGAGCTTTTCTGTAGCATGAGCAAAGTAACTACGCATAGGCTACTGAGGATTGTTCAGCCTTGTCCTTACCAGACACACAGTCCACAACAACCAGGGCTCCGTCAGTGACACGGAGAGCAGCAGTCACTTCAGAGGAGAAGTCAACGTGACCTGGAGAGTCAATCAGATTGATCAAGAAGCCAGCGCCATCCTTGGTCTGCTTAATGAAGGCCAAATCAGTTTCAGCCAGTTCGTAGAAGAGGGAGATGGCGCTGCAAGTTAAGTCAATGTGTTAGAACATGTCAGATGCCAAATGTAACATTTCAAAGATTACTTACAAAAAAAATAATAGATATGACTATTAGTAAAATGATGAGTATTTCTGCATTGTTGACATGCATATCACTGAAGATTTTTAAGAGACATAACCCCTACGAAAGGAGACTAAAAACCATAATTTGTGTTTTACTGGATGCAAGGACTAAACAAGGGCACCCAGTGAGGACATTACTTTTTAATGCAAACAAGTATAAATGAGGCAATGTAGAAGAACAGTTGGAAAATATAATATGATGCTTACGTTGACTTAATGGTGATGCAACGTTCCTGTTCATCTTTACGTGTGTCGGTGAAACGGGTTTCTCCGGCACGAGATGAGGCAATGATGCCAGCCTTTGACACGAGCGAGTCTGTCAGAGTTGACTTGCCGTGATCGACGTGCGCAATCACAGACATATTACGGATGTTGGACTTCTTGTCCATGATGGCACGGATCTGGTCGACTGTAAAGTTCACCTGAGGAAGGAAAAATCAAATTAGATAATCCACAAAAAAAATCAAAATAAACATGGCGAGACTGCAAGGCATCTATCTGCAGCATATCGAAAATCTGCTGACGCACCAATACCCGTTCTGTACTTCCACCCAGGGCGTTTTCCCCACTCATAATAGCTATGAGTCATGACAAACGGTATATCCATTCAGCATATCTTTTATTTCAACCCCTTGTCTGTGTCTATCAATATAGCCGGTGATATATTGACTTAAACGTTTTCCAAAACTGTTAGTCAAAGCATATTCAAACAAGCAAGCACCGGCATAATATGTGGCACGAATAGGCCACGTGTACATACTGACATAATGCTACATGCTAACTTTAGCTAGGGGCCGGTCGATGGGAAATAACGGCAAAGGATCCCTCCTAAACGCAACAATTAAAAACAAACATGGCGCAGTCGTACACATCGGATTTCCAAAACAGCCACTTGCCCTTATTCAGCTTAACGTCCATGGTCACATATATATCAATGCCATTTCCCTTGCAATGGCTAACGTTGAGGCACAGCAGTGAAAGTTAGCCGGTGAAATACCGTAGCGTCACCTAATTTTAGACATTTAGGCCTCTAGAAAAAGCGTCAGTATGGGCACATTACAACTTCAACTCCATTATAAACACAACAGACTTGTTTTAGCCATTGAGAATCGTCTTTTTAGATTATTCCTGGCTCCTTCTGGCTAACGGTATCAATGACAGAATGGCTGCCATTTTGATCAAAGCACAATCCACATAGTTGAGATGCAAGTTAGGATATTATCCGCTAAAACGGCCAAACAGTTTTCAATATTCGGGTAGACGGCACCGTTTGTGTACGATAAATGAGTATTAACTCGGAAACAAATAATCAACTCACCATTTTGACGGATGGTTTTGGATCCGCTTAGTGGCGAAAAGAGACAGGAAATGTTACGCTGCCCACCTCACCAGGGCATAGGCAGGAAAGAGACAGCTGACGTCAGAAAGCTGGGATTTATACTGCCTGCGTAAGTATGTACGTAGTCACGTACTGACATTACGCTCGATGGGTCGTGTTGCGGTTTCATCCATCCACATCCACGTTTCTTATGACGTGACATTCAGGTAAGGTAGCATTATGTCAGCCATTTTACAAGTTTACAGGTCAGGAAGTGGTGTAAAGTAGGTAAGATAAGATAGTACTTTATTGATCCCAATTTGGGATTTACGTAAGTAAATAAGTACATTTACTGAAGTACTGTACTTAAAGTACAGTTTTGAGTGAGAGGTAAACAGTGTACTTTTACTCCACTACTTTTATTTCATTGCTTTAGTTACTTTGCTAATTTGGATATTAATATTAATTAATATTAATACTATTATATAATATATAATTAAAACTAGCTGCACCTTTACTAGCTTTGATAAACACATTAATGCATCAATAATTATAATCAAAACATATAATATATATGATTCTCAATGATGATTGAATGAATGATGAGTCAATCTGCGTAATGAGTACTTTTACTTTAGGTACTTTAAGTATATTTTAATGCTTATATTTGTAACTTGACTAACATTTTGAATGCAGGAGTTTTTCTTGTAACTAGAGTTACTTCTACTTTTACGAGTGACTGGACCCACTCTTCCATAAGTGGGTCAAAAAGGACCCGTATTAGAATAATATGTGTTTTTATGCCATTTTTGTCCTTTTGGTTAAGAAAAATCACACTAGACATATTTTATATTTAATTGTTCACTATTTATAATTTTAGAGATTTTTTTTACATTTTGAAAAAAACCTTTTGAGCATATTGATGCAAAGATCTCCGCTATTCTGATACCCTCACAGTATTCCAGTCCCTTTTCAAAACTCATCTCTTCTCCTCTTGTCTACTCATCATAGCCCACCCCCCATCAATCCATGCCGGTTGATCAAGTTTGATAGTCCTATACTCAGGGGCGCCGTAAGGGGTTGAAAAGTTAGGACGATTCTAAGGGCCCGTGACTGACAGGGGCCCAAACAATTTTAGAACATTAAGAAAAAAATGTTTAAGTAACCAATGTGATATCTTTTCATGGGAACTTGATCAATTGATCAAATCTGGTTGACTATTTTAGTGTAAGAAACAGTTATCAACCTGTTTTATGATAATGTTCAAATAGCACAAACAGTGATTCCAATTATCAAAAGATAAATAATTTTTGGGTGATGTGTTGTGCTAGATATTACATGTGTTGTAGTCAGATCTTTTCACATCATGTTACCTCATTTCATTTTTCTCCAGCAGATGGTGTCCCAGCTTCACTTCCAGAAACTTCAGCTTTCAACACACCAGTCCAGAAAAAACACAGGTAATACTTTAGGCTACTGTGTTATCAAGATAACCATTTCACCCTACTCTACTTATGGAGAAGCGCAAAAGACAATGTTAATGTCTTTTTTCAAAGGCTCTTCCAATGTGACTGAAAACCATTGATGTATTTTTTAATTATGCTTGATTCAATTAACCATTCATTCAGTCTCCAATCAAGTCAGAGTTTAATAACAGTACTTACCTCAAATACACATTTACTACCCTACATTCTCTTCTGCTGTACATATATTAAACCATGGTTAATAGCCAATGCTTATTTCACTTGTTCAATCTGTTTAAAAACCTCTATGGTAATGAAAAAAAGTAATGAAGGAAAATTAAGTATTTTCCTAAATCTTTGCAAATTCGTTGAGTGGATGGGTTTGTATCCTTTGTCATAGTGTAGCTCCAATGAAATATGCTGTTGAATTTCTCTTAATTCGCTTCTATCATACATTGAGGAAACTATTTGAAATCGCCAAATCTAAAACTAAATAAACCGCAGTTATGTAGAAATATTTTTGAATGATTGTCATTCAGCATTCTGGGATACATTCAATGGAACTTGTAAACCTTGGCAAATACTGTGTCTCTACGTATAGTATACCCATGAAGCATGCTTAACAAGGTCCTTAAATGATATGCTGTCTAAGTGATTCATAGCAAAACAATTCCATTAATTTTAAATGTTAAGTGTATGGGTGGCTAATATTTTTCAGACCAAGGACCCTTTAGCTAAAAGGGAGTCGAGCAGACCCCCTGCTAACTTCATGTATACAATTGAGTTGAATAATAAACTGGACCTTAAAGGGAAGCTTAAAGTGCCATTATACTATGGTTTTATTTATTTCAACAGAAAGCCAATTCATCGTTGCTAATACGTTGGATTCATATAGCCTAAATGTGAATTTTCATACATATTTAAAATTGTTGAAAACAATTTCAAACAAGATATTGGAGACACCCCTGCAAATAATAAGGACCCTAGGGATCCCCTGTTGTTCACCCATGGTAAAATACATATAAGTAACAGGGTTTTGTATGTGAGTTGTTTTAGTTCACTTATTAATCTGTCACCATGATAGACCACCAGATGTGTTTTTTCATAAAAACAGATTTAGATGCCTTTATTTGAACCCTGTTATCATAATACACCTACACCTTTCATGGTTGTTAACATTTCACTTTTTACCACAACAAATAATATTTATGTGACATTTCATTTGATCTGTTGGGCACAATGTTCTAGGAGAATTTTGAAAGTCAGCTCTGTCAACATGTTACAGATAAACAGATAGATGGATAAAAGATGACTCAATCCTCATCTCTACAGGGATTTACAGCCTAGAGTAGGGGTGGAGGTAAATCCCTGTAGAGATGAGGATTGAGTCATCTTTTATCCATCTATCTGTTTATCTGTAACATGTTGACAGAGCTGACTTTCAAAATTCTCCTAGAACANCTACCTCCGCGACCCGACCACGGATAAGCGGGAGAAGATGGATGGATGGATGTTGACAGAGCTGACTTTCAAAATTCTCCTAGAACATTGTGCCCAACAGATCAAATGAAATGTCACATAAATATTATTTGTTAAATAATATTTATGTGACATTTCATTTGATCTGTTGGGCACAATGTTCTAGGAGAATTTTGAAAGTCAGCTCTGTCAACATCCATCCATCCATCTTCNCTGCCCCATCACATCGAATGTCCTCTACTTTGAGCTGATTCTCCTCCAGTAGCTTTATAACCAGGTTTTCAAGGGCTTCACCAGTTGTTGACTGCACGTCACCAGTATTAATTGTGGGCTTATCATGTTGATTCGGGAAAAAGAGAATTTTGCTCTCTCCAGAGGGGCAGGTCAGCCAAAGAGGGAAAACATTAGCCCGTACCTGTGCACGTCCCTGTCTATCTATCTATCTATCTATCTATCCACCATTCTATCTATCAATCTATCTATCTATCACAAGTGTTCATATTGTGGGGGAAACTTCTGAAGCAATTGGAAACAGGACTCAGTGAGACACAAGGAGAGCTGGAGCTTTGATGGCAAACACTGACGGTTTATTTGTAGCTTCGGCCGGAGAATTCACAAGAGATGTCACAGGCCACGATCTGACCACACAGTTGATATACCACAATCAATTCTGAAGAACCCTCCTGTAGCTCGAGGTTTTAACTAGTTCAGAGTGTAATAATCAACATTCTTCAATAGATAGACTAAACTGAGGACACTGAATCACATTTGTTGTCGCTTACAGTATGGCTCGGGCTCAAGGTTGGTCCGCTGTGTCAGAGGGCAAAAGATAAACATGTAGGGTGAAATGATTCCCTGACACATATCATATAATATCTTTTTTATTCTGTGAGAATGATTTGCATGCTTCAAAAGACAAATATGTCACCGTGATATAATAGTATTCAAAGCTGGATATTAACACTTGTGCTCTGCAGCTATGATCCATTGTCAGCCCGGGGAGTTGGAGGTATTTCTCACATATTGCAGGAATAAGCAGGTGAAAAACGAATTGTCAAAAGAACAAGAGAAAATTAGCCCTGTTCCTGTGGTTGGCAAAAAGACTTTTCAAATAACTTTTTTAATTGCATACATAAATACATTATCATCCCCTATTGGAAAACAAAAACGCAAAAAGAGGAGTAATTAAAGGACAAACCACGAACAGACAAATTCATGGGGGAATAAAAACACAGCTTAATGGGTGTTGGTGGACATGAGTCTACTGGACGTTCTGTAGAGAGACCTTACAGAGCACTGAGACAGAAACAGTCTCAGTTAACGAGAGAAACCACGTCAGCGATTTCTGCTGTCTCGTTCACTTCTTTATGTTAAGTGGAGATATCCCGATCTAACTCCCTGAAGAGATGAAATAAGCCACCTCGAAAGGGACAATTATTTTCGTGTGCTGCATAGAAACTGAAAGACAGGGGTTATTGTATTACTTTTACTTTTTTTGTCAGTTACTGCATGATGTTTCACATTACTTATTGGCACTCTGCTTACTATATAATTATGGCTTCATGTCTATCTTTCAAAGAGATAACAGGGGATTTATTTTTAACTCTATCTAATTGCTTCTACAGTAAATCCCTTGACTGGTGTTTATCCTCCTCCTGCATGACACTTGCTTACACTTTAAGAGTTAAATATTATATATATAATATATTGACATGGTGCACTTTAAAGTTAAGGAATTTAAAGAATTGTTGAGATGCCATGAGTAGTATCCCCTTCATGGTGAGGAGATGAAGGGAGAGGCCTGAATGGATGTGATGTGGAGCGAAGCGTCTGATTAACTTTCTGTCAATCAACTGTGTGTTTGAGTCCAACTATACAACACAACAATCTGTCAGTGAAAAGTTCTCTGAGCTGTTTTGTATGCCGATTATATAACAGAAGCGAAAGAGGTCTAAGAAAGTTTAATGAGCAACTTGTTAGCATTAAACAGCACGTCAACTCTTAAAATCCAGCAGGAGCTCTCATCCTTCTGTCTTTGATGGCGATATGCTTTGAATGAATCAAGCCAATACGTTTTGAAGTGTAAACATTCAAAGTATTCATCTTCTCCCTATGATAGCAGTCAATGTTCTGTAGAACAAAAATATGGCAACATAAGCGACCA